CGACGTGATGACGTCATTTTGACGCACGTATTGACGTCGGCGGAACCCGCGGGAGACCCGGTCTGAGCTGACAGGGAGATGCAATTACATTGGTGATGGGTAAGTAGATTGCTAATATGTATGTTGGTATATATGTATGTTTTTACAGTGTATGTGTTAGTCCTGATGAAAGTCTGTGGTTAACAGACTGAAACGTCGATCTGTTTTTTGGATACTGATTAAAAGTTAAGTTTTATATTTTTTTGATTGAATAAGTCCTGGGAGTGCTATCTTGTTTTATGTTTCTGTGTTTTGCTGGACAAGCACCGGGCAAGTAGAGCTTTGAAAGTGGAGTGCAGGATTATTTTTCTTGTTGTATACATGGCTCAGTGGCTTGAGCTAGCTTTCTATGCACCCTAATTTTGGAGAGTTTTTGCTACTCCTGGATATATATATATATCCTTCTTTTGAATATTGTTTTTGGTACATTGTAGAGTACCTGTATATACTTGTACATATTGGATTCAATCTGTTTTCCCCATTTCATCTATGGAAGATTTTTTCACATTGGCTGGTGGTTTAGTAGAACAGGCGGAGGTATGGCAGTACAGTGAAGAAGATGCAGATAGGATACGGTGGACATCATCCACATCTGATTTACCTAATACCACATCCCTGAGGGATATATATTTTGAATTATTGAGACTAAGGAAACGTGAAACTGATTTAGACCTACATGGTCTCTTTTTATCTGAATATCATCGTAAGCTGCAAATCCCACGTGGTTTTCGTGTCAAAAATATCCCCACTATTGGTAGATTAAAGCCACAGGTCTGCAAGCGTTGGATTTCAGTTTTAAATAAATGTTCATTGGACCTTATGCTGATCATCATTGAGGATGTCAGAGAGGACCTAATTCAGGTGAGGAGACGGATCTCTGAATTAGAAACAAAACAGGCAGTATTATTATCAGCACCGGAATCTGCACCAACTTTATTAAAACTGGAAAATAACATCAAGAACTATAAGACAGACCTTGTCAGGTTTAAAAGAGAAAAACAGGAAAAAGTGACAGCTGATTATAAGGAGCATCGTGTATATAGATGGCTCAGTGGGAAGTCTGATGTACCATACTTCATCAAGAAACGCAGACCTATTCGCAAACCTAGACAGTTTACAATAGATAAAACCTCAGGAGAATCCACCTCTGAGTCGGAGCTAGTGCACGATTCATTTCCAGTACGTAAACCTGGTAATACATCAGGCATTGCACAACCTTTTTTAGAGACGGCATCAGCCGAGGAATTTCCTATACGGACACGCTATCAGAACAGACATGCAATATCAGGCGGAGACACATTACTAGACGTGGACAAAAGGGGCGCACCTTCTGGGGCAAGAGGGAGGCCACCCCGACAACAGAGATAGTCCCAATTTTCAATCTATCTTCCAGACCCCTGACATCGGATGAAGTCCAAATACTTAGTAGAGGATTGTCATTTGTCCCTACTTCTGGACCAAATTCCCTGGATTGGGAAGTGGAATTATACAAATTTGGTCGGACATTGAGATTGAAGGACTTTTTTAAGACCAATACTATGGATACTGTCAACCCTATGCAAAAATTTAAAAAGAAAAGTACATTTGACCCCATGCCAAACCAGGCTTCTATCAAATCTTTTTTACGCTCAGTGCACAAAGAGTCTACTGACCATTTAAAGCAAAACAATCCACATCATTCAAATTGTACCAAGAATGATCGGGCAATTATCAAATCACTGGCTGCCGATAAAGAGATTGTAATCAGACCAGCCGACAAGGGGGGCGGTATTGTCATCCAGAACTATTCAGACTACCGCTCTGAAATTTTATCACAATTGTCGGATCATAATACCTATGTTAAATTATCTAAGGACCCTACAGAACAAGTGATCAATCATATTGAGAATTGCCTAACAAGAGGGTTGCATTCTAATTATATTTCTATGGAAGTATATCAATATCTCCAATCATCTACACCTAGAACCCCGGTGATCTACACCCTACCTAAGGTTCACAAAAATATGGATAAACCTCCAGGTCGCCCCATTGTTTCGGCAATTGGGGGAGTCCTGGAACCTCTAGCCAAGTGGCTGGATTTTCTGTTTAAAGAATCTATTGAACACCTTTCAACATGTATAAAGGATACTCCCAGTTTTGTGAAGTTACTATCTGAGACTACATTGCCCCCTGGACCAGTGGTCCTATTGACGTGTGATGTGTCAAGTCTATATACCGTGATACCTCATCAAGATGGAATAGATGCGATGAGATCGATATTATCTCAGTCCATGTACTACACAGGACCTCCTATAGAGTTTACATTGGAACTCTTAGAGATAGTTCTTTCTCAGAACTATTTTAGGTTCGAGATGAATTGGTATAGACAAATTGCTGGGACATCCATGGGGGCAGCCATGGCACCCATGTATGCCAATGGGTACATGTTTTGTTTTGAAACCAGATATATTTTGGAACCTTATCAAGGTCGTATCCTAAAGTATGCCAGGTATATCGATGATATCTTTATGGTGCTTACTGGGTCCATATCGGAAGCAGAAGAGATGGTTCGATCCATCAATTCATGCACCAACAATATTAAATTGACGGCAGTGATGGATGAAATATCAGTGGATTTCTTGGACATTAGAGTGCTGAGGGAGGGGACAAGCTTAGCTTACACCTTATATTCCAAGCCGACGGACCGCAATACAATACTTCAGGCCAGTAGTTTTCATCCTGGTTCATTGAAGAATTCACTACCCTACTCGCAATTTTTGAGAGTCTTGAGGAACAACTCAGATCCGAAAAGGGCCCACGAACAATTGGGCATGATGTGGGAGAAATTCCGACAACGAGGCTACACGAGCCAGACATTACAAAAAGCGCTTGATCGAGGGTTGGCTACAGTTGATACTCCTGTCCCGAAAACTCAGAACAATAGATTGATTTTTCCTACGACATTTACTACATCATCCCTCAAATTCAAACAGATTATTGAGGACAATTGGAGAGTATTAAAAAATGATGTGACATTACCTCCAATATTTCAGAATCCTCCTATGGTCTGTTACAAGAGGAATAAAAATTTGAGAGACTTGCTAGTTAATACCGATCCATTTCATTGCTACTCGAAGGACAGTATTCCACAGAATTTGGGATGTTACCGCTGTCTAGGTTGTGTTACCTGTGGACACATGATTCCTGGAAAGACGTTTACACATCCTCATACAGGTGAAAGTTTTCGAATACAACATCGGCTAACCTGCACCAGTGACTTTGTGATTTACAAGCTTATGTGCCCTTGTGGCTTAACTTATATTGGAAAAACTGACCTACCATTGAGGGAACGTATCCGGAACCACAGGTCTAGTATAAGAACAGCGTATAGGGATCACAAGTCAGAGCTACCAGTAGCGAAGCACTTTCTTGAACTAGGACACACTTTGCCATCGATGAGGTTGATGGCCATTGATCATGTCCCTTCGCCTAGAAGGGGTGGCGATCGCAAGAAGATGCTTTTACAACGTGAATTGTTTTGGATAAGAACATTACAAACGGTCCATCCTGATGGATTAAATGAAAAATATTCATTATCTGTGTTCTTGTGACTTTGGCTGTATATAACCTGATGTATACTGAAATAGGAGATGGGGGTTCACCCGTGGGGTTAAGCCACCTCCCTGTACATTCAGTTTTGAGGATGGTTATTTTTCCCTTTTTTTTCAGACTCTGAAGTCTATACCGTTCCACATAGGATCTTAACATGGGTGCCCACCTTTTTGGGTGGAGTCACCACATGTATTTCTTATTGTGGGATCCGGTTCTATTATGATTGTCTTTAGAGGCGATAGGATCCTATTATTAGCATATTTTCGAGATTATGTTGTATTTTTAGCTGGTGATACCAATATGTTTGTGCTTATGGGTTATATGTACTGGAGTCCTGATGATATGAGGTTGGGGAATGATGCCCACCCGTGGGGATAGGCATATTCCCTTGATGCCTCATGGATGATGGTAATAAGTTTATTATCCCTGTCTGGTTTCATATATTTTTGTTTCATATATTTTATTTTTGCTTGATATTTACTTGTCTCTTTCCTTTATGATAGGCTGTCTTAAGATATAGAGAAGGGTTGATATAGTTTAGGGACATCAGTTTAATATATGTTTGCTCCTGTATTATAGAGAATAACTTCTCATTTTTTCAAACTCAATTTTCAATTTCCACTATAATTCCTCCATCCATTTGAATCCATGGGTATTGCCTTTTAAATGATATTATTATAGCAGCTTGTTATATTGATGCATTAATAATAATAATTTTTTCAAGTATTTAGATCCCCATGTATTGGGCATTAATACAATATTTGGGTTTACTACCATTTACTCATGCACAATATGGTGTTTATACTGTTCTTTATAGTCTGTTTTTCTTTGTTTTTAGTGGTTCTTTAAAGCCTGTTGTGTCTTTGTTTTTAGTGGTTGCTATGGAGCTTCTCTCCATAGCAACAATCTCCCCATGATGCCGCCGGACGGGTGGTCACGTGATGCGGTAATGACGCCGGCGCGACGTGATGACGTCATTTTGACGCACGTATTGACGTCGGCGGAACCCGCGGGAGACCCGGTCTGAGCTGACAGGGAGATGCAATTACATTGGTGATGGGTAAGTAGATTGCTAATATGTATGTTGGTATATATGTATGTTTTTACAGTGTATGTGTTAGTCCTGATGAAAGTCTGTGGTTAACAGACTGAAACGTCGATCTGTTTTTTGGATACTGATTAAAAGTTAAGTTTTATATTTTTTTGATTGAATAAGTCCTGGGAGTGCTATCTTGTTTTATGTTTCTGTGTTTTGCTGGACAAGCACCGGGCAAGTAGAGCTTTGAAAGTGGAGTGCAGGATTATTTTTCTTGTTATATATATATATATATATATATATATATATATATATTTTATCCTCATGCAATAGCAGACAGTTGATTGGTTGAGAAATTGCCTGACACATTTTGAGCAGTAGGTTTCCGAGTCAAAGTCATCATTTATCAGTGGGCTGCTTGTTTTAAATGATGGCATGTAACCAACAGAAGCCTCATGTAATTAAAACACAATTCAATTCAGATGATGCTTTTTCACTTTCATGAATATAAACTTTTTCCTACTGTACACTGATGGGGTCTGGGTCATCTACCTTTTCAGTATGTAGCACCTCCATGGATATCTTCCATTCCAATTATTTGACATATCTGGCCTCTGTGACTTCACTTATCAGTGGAACCTTGGAACTTGAACTTAATCCGTTCCAAAGGGTTGTTTGAGAACCGATTTGTTCGAAAACTGAATCAAAAACTGAATCAAAATATTTCATAAGAATTTATGAACATTAGATTAATCCGTTCCAGACACTCAAAATTACAGCATTTTAACATAAATTTTACAGTCTAATAATACCTTAAATGCATAAAAACATACAGAAACCCAATAAACACAATTTAAATAAAAAATGAAAATGTAATTTCACTTTACCTGTCAGCTCTGTTTGCTGACAGAATGGAGCTCTGTTCGCTAACAGAATAGAGTTCTGTTTGTATTGTCTAGTGCTAAGAGGCTGATGAATCATACCAACGAGGTTTGCAAAGTGTTACCAACTAGGTTAATACTGTGTGATTTTGTTCTATTACCGAGTTTTGTTCTAATAACGAGACATTTTTTTAATCATATATTTTGTTTGAATACCGAATTGTTCGAGTAATCGAGTGTTCCAGAACCGAGGTTCCACTGTACTAGAAATGTTATAATAAAATACAAAATTAAATGTGAATTTTGTTATTTTAAGGTTTGAATATATATATATATATATTTAAAGCTGAGTCATATTCCATTTGTGGAATAATTAAATGGAAAAAAAGTTAAATTAATAGCTAAGTATTTTAAAATATCTGCATATTATGCTCTATGGCGCCTTTTAAAATAAATAATATAATTAAAGATAATTTACAGAAATTGTGCAATGTCCATGAGTGTATCCATAGAAAAATAATTCAGGACATCCATAATAGCAACTGCAGAAACTTTAAAAATGTTGAGTTCAGATTTACATAGCTCAACACAGATGACAAGCTTCTTGTTGTCATCTTACTGCTGTTTTATTTCCTCTGATCTCTGGCTTATTATTAATATGTGTTACATGATTACAATTATGGAAGACCAGCTCCCTTTTGTGGGGCTTATCTTCATATGATATTGTTTGACTGGGGTGGTGTACCACTGGTAAAGGGTCTTATATGCCTGCTCTTGGAATGTTACACAGATGGAGGATTGTGCGCTTGCTTCCC